ATGTGCCCCTGACTGGAATCGAACCTGGGACCCTTCAGTCCATAGGCTCTATCCACTGAGCCAAACCAGCCAGCAGGGGCTTTTTAAACAGCACCTATCAAATGGAGGTGGTCAGGGTCAGAGGACTGCCTTCTCTTCCCTTCTCATGAAGATGTTGGGGAGACTGACTGTTCAGAGATGGATGTGCTAAAAGCTTTGGATACCTCTTCAGTGGGTACAAACTGGGGGCTTTGATGACATGGTGTCCTGGTGTTTGTTTAACATGTAACTCTGCTATTCATTTATTCTTTCAACAATGCTATGAAAAATAAATAAAGCAGAGTACAGGGAGAGAGAGTGCAGATGAACTGCTATTTTGGAGGGGGGAGGGGTTGGGGACTCCAAGGAAGTATGTTTGAACAGAGCTGGATGAGTAAGGGAGCAATAAATAGGCAGAGAAAACAGCTAAGTAAGTGCAAAGCCTGGAGGTGGAAGTACATTCAGTGTGTTCCCGGAAGGGCAAGGACAGCAGAATGCTGGAGCCCAGTGATCCAGGGTTGAAAGGGGAGATCAAGTTGAAGAAGTGGGGCTGCAGGCAGGATCTCAGAGGGCCTTGCTGGACAGGCTGAGGGGGTGGACTTCGCTCTTGAAGTGTCAGGGGAGGTCAGTGGAGAGCTTTGAGGAGAATGATGGGTTCTGGCTTTGTATCCCAGGAAGATCACTCTGGCTGCTTGGAAGAGAGTGGTGACAATAGGGCCAGTGTGGAGACAGGGAGACCAGTCAGGGGCCAGGAGGTGATGGCTGGTGGTGAGCCGTGGCCTCCATAAGCATGTATTCTGAAGGTAAGAGCCCATGGAAATTTCTAAAGGACAGGATGTGGAGGGTGAGGGAAAAGAGAATCAATGCTTAACTCAGATCTGCAGCCTGAGCCCCTGGGTGGTACCATTATTGAAATGGGGAGCCTGGAGAGGAGCAAGATTTGAGGGAAAGTGTGCATGTATTTTTGGACACATTTGGTTTGGGAGGCCATTAGACATCCAAGGAGAAACGCTGAGTAGGCAGTTGGACATGTGAGCTGGATTCTGGGGAGAGGCTCCCCTGCCGCCCCCTGCCCACCTCCTCCCCCCACCCCCAAACACACACACCTGCTTGATGATGAAGACTGTTGTGTAAAGGGCTGGGGGAGGATTCACAGTGGGTTTTCCACCATTTGTATTTTTAAGGAAATGCATTTTAAATTTATATTAGTTGTGACTACCTCTTTCTTTCCCTTCCTTCCTCTCTCCCTTCCTCTCTCCCTTCCTCCTTCCTTCCTTCCTTCCTTCCTTCCTTCCTTCCTTCCTTCCTTCCTTCCTTCCTTCCTTCTTCCTGCCTTCCTGCCTTCCTGCCTTCCTGCCTTCCTTCCTTGCATGTGATGAGTTCCTGTCAGCAAATCCCTGCTAGGCTCTTATTTATGAAATTTTGGGCCTCCATTGACTATGAGAAGTCCATTCCAGCAGATAAATTCACATCAAATGAACGTTTCTTCTCTGGGTCCACAATGTTAATATTTAACGGCTAGAACACTGTCAGTTTTTGAGTTGACATTAATTCAAAACTTGATAAAATTGTTTACATTGTAAGTGTAGGGGCACAGATGAGTCATTCCAAGATGTGCTACTCTAGCATACAAGTTCTTTCAAGCTAAAAACGTTAAAAGCCCAGAAGGCTCAGGAAGAACCTTTTGACCTTATTGCCTAAAAGGAATTTAGACAATGGACTTGCTCGGGAGGGGAGCCATCATCTTAGATGAGTTACTGTATTTAATATCTAAAATATTAGGTGTAATTGACAGGAAGAGCCTAGAAAGACTCTTTGGTCAAAGTCCTTTTTGTGACCTATTGTTTCAGGATGGCTCAATGTACTAAACAATAACTCTTTCATCTCCCTGTGGATTACTTCTCCCTGCTTAGTGCTGAATGGCATTTATACCTCATTTTGTTCTATGTCTTTGGAATTTTCATGCTTATGTGAATTCCCCAAGTGCATGTGTTGACGGTGAAATGGCACCAGGTGTTAAACTGAAGGAGTCAGACTGGACCTCCGTGCTTGAGTTCAGGCTAAGAAATAATTCAGAGCCAAGATTCAAACCGTGAGAGAAAGTTTATTTAGAAAGTCATAGAGGTAGAAGTGAGTTGTAGAAGAAATGGGCTCTGGAGACAAGTTACATAGGCAAGAGAATACCCATGTTTATTCTAAAAAAAAAAATATTAGGAAATGCAGAGAAGCAAAAACCAAGTCACTCTTAACTTTGCCACCCAGAGGTAACTCCCACTGACATATATATATATATATATATATATATATATATATATATATATTCTCTCTAATAAAAGAGAAACATGCAAATTGACTATGCCTTTGCTATACCCACAAGCCACGCCTACCAGCCAATCAGGGCGAGTTTGCAAATTAATCCAACCAAGATGGTGGTTAATTTACATATCCAGCCAGAGCATAGACTGATGACAGCATAGAAAGAAACCAAGAAGGGAGTGAAGCTGTGGAGAAGGAAGTAAGCAAGCGGGGAAGCAGGCAGGGCAGGGAGAAGGGAGAGAAGCCGAAGGAGCTTCGGAGAAGGGAGGGAAGCAGATGGGGCAGCGGAAACCGAAGCAGGAAGCCCTATTGCAGGAATCTTCCTGCAAGGGGCCTCTAGTAAATATATATAAAAGCTAAGTGACCAGAACAATGGAACAACCAGATACTTTGATGTGTATTGCAGCTACAGTCAGGCCCCCGCCCCCTGGGGGCAGGGCTGGCCAGCCAAACCACCTGCTCCCCCCTTCCCCATGGCCTGCCAGCTGCCTGCCCCCCCCTCCAATTTGCCCTTCCACCCCCAATACGGGGGCAAGGCCAGCTGGTTGACCTTCCACGCTCCGCTGTGCCCCATGCTGGCCAGGCCCCAATCAGCCCCATAGGGCTGGGCCAGCCAGACCCCATCTGTGCATGAATTCATGCACCAGGCCTCTAGTACAGTATATAAAAGACATCTGCATGTTAAAAATTTTGATTACATTGCCCTTAAGGTTCTATAAGCTACTTTTTAAAATTAACCTGTTGTGAAGTGGACATTTATAGATGGGTACCTATTGGCATTGAAAGAAAAAAAATTTTTTGAAACACCTAGTAGGCAGTCTCTAGAATGGCTGAGCAATGGGACTGAAAGATTACTGCCCAGCAGTGGGGTAATGGCCCGTCAAGATTTGGCTGCAGCCCTTCCCAGAGGAGGGGGCTGGATGAGAAGACCTCAGGGAGGACCCTCTGCCCTGTGTCTCTCTTCCCAGTGGATGTGGCTGCTGTGTTTTCAGTGGCTAATTATTGAACAGGAGGAGGTGGTGCGGGAGAGCACCGTGCCTTATGTCTTTGCTGACTTGGCTCTTGTCTGGAACTGGCTAAGGAGGCCTCCTCCTCCCTCGTTCATTCAAAACTCTTTATTGACATCTGCCACCTACCTCCTCCACCCAGGGGCATGTGCTGGGATGCAGCCCTATACCTGCCCTCCAAGCAGGCCCGAAGCCCTATAGCCATACCCTTTCCATGTTTTTGTCCTGTCAGTCCCTGCTTTACAGATGAGGAGACTGTCTCGGGAAGGTGGGTGAGTTCCCCAGGGCCACACACCTGGCAGGACTGGAATTCGAACCCAGGTCTCTCTGATTCCTAGCCCATGCCCCTGTCACCATGAAACATGAACACAAAGCTATGTTGAAAGTGATTTGGGCCCCATACAGGGAGACCAGCATTGCAGAGGAGAAGAGTGGGGGAGGGAGAAGGGGGTGTGTGCATCCAGAGGGCTCCTGGGAGCCGCGGGAGTTGTGTGGGGGAAGGGAGCAATCTCAGCAGGCTACCATGGTGAGGTATTTTAGGCAGAATGCAACATCAGCAGACCTGGGTGGGAGACTCTGGGAACATTTGAGGGAGGGTTGTGGGTCAATTCACAGGGGATGTGTTTCCAGAGAAGTCCATTCTCTCAGGTGTATCTTCCAGGGCACATGCATGTCCTGTAACCACTCCCTCCCCCCCTTCCACCCCATCCCAAAAAGAAGAGCTTCCAGGAGTCCAGCGTTCCCTGTTGCTGCATCTGCAGCCCTGGCCCTCATCTTGCCTCCTCCGGGGGCCACCAGCTCCATCCTCATGCCCTTTCCCTCTGCCCATCCACCGAAACACTGGAAACCTGGTTCTAACCTCATCCTGGACACACTGAGCAACCTTTGGCCTCAGTTTGTTCGCTGGGCCTCAGTTCCCTTATGTGAGAAATTGGGGCTGGGGAGTGGTGGGAGAGTTGGGTTCTAAAGTTCCTTCCTCCTCAAACATCTGGTTCTGAGCCACTGAGTCGCTTCCCACTTCCTTCAGGGGGGGTTCCAGGCCTCCACCTCATAGCTCTTTGATGCCTGATTCCCTTCACACTCTCTCCCCTCTGCACTCTGTATTCTCTCTCTACCTGTTCTCCCTAGTCCCCTTTCCTTCCATAGCTACCAGATTATTTAATTTCTTCCGTGCTCACAAAGGTAGAGGCAATTGACCCCGTTCTGCAGAGGAAGCCATGCTTCTGCCACCTCAGATGTCATAGGGAATGGGGGTCCCTCCCTCCCTCAGCTGCTGGCCTTCCCTTTCCCCTTCTCCAATCTCTGGAGCTCTTCTCTCAAGACAGCCTCTGAGCCAGGGGCTGAGGTTGTGAATGGCTGAGCCTGGAGGTGTTCCTGACGGTGGGACCCTGGGCCAGTCCAGATCAACCTGCCTCTCAGAGAGGAGTGGCCACCTCTCTGAGCTGCAGCCTGCATCAAGGGCCTGGGGGCTTCTCCCTTCTCCCTTCAGTACAAGCCAGGATTCCAGGGAACTCCGATCCCAAACCCTCAATCTGCTCTGCAGATGAGCTTCTCGAACAATGCTTCCCTCCTCCTCTGACTCCACAGCCCCCTGCCGAGGCTCCTTGGCTGTTCTGCCCGCCCAGCAGTCTAACCCTTCCCTTCGTGCTGCCTTTGCAGATTTTTGCTGGTGTTCACCTGCCTGGTGTTGTCCGTGCTGTCCACTATCCAGGAGCACCAGGAACTTGCCAATGAGTGTCTCCTCATCCTGGTGAGTGCAGGAGGCCCTGTCTGAGGGAGGCCATATCGGAGAGAGGCCTCTTACACCACGGCTCAGAGAGTGGCTTGCTGTGTGGGTTCCCTGAGCTGGTGGCTGCCCATCTCTGGGTTTCACTTCCTGCTTTATAGCAGGTGTTGGGGTCCTCCTGCCTCTATGCCAGGGCTTAGGGTGGGCAGAGAGGAGGGAAGTAGGTCCCACTCCTTCTCGGGACCCAAAGTGCTAACACCACCCTCAGACAGAAATATCTTGGAGGGGACCGCTGACAGACAGCCGCCCTTTATGTCACTGAGCCTGCTTTAGAGTCTGGGATGACTAGGAGTGGGAGGGTGGGGTGAGGAGAAAAACCCCGACAGCTCGTGGGGGCAGAGAGGACAGACTTGGATTTCAGTCTCTTTGGAAGGGGCCACCTGCCTTGGAGAATCCTCCTCGGCTCACCCAGGTGTAAGAACCTCCAGGAGAAGTGGGCTGAGGAAATCCTAGCACCCCTAACCCAGGGACTCCAGGCTGTTTCAGGGCTGGAGACTGGGGAGAGCTCAGGCCCCTGGCCCCACAGGAATTTGTGATGATCGTGGTGTTTGGCCTGGAGTACATCATCCGTGTCTGGTCGGCGGGATGCTGCTGCCGCTACCGAGGATGGCAGGGCCGCTTCCGCTTTGCCAGAAAACCCTTCTGTGTCATAGGTAATAAGGCCTGCTCCCACCCCCACCCCTACCCCTTTACCTGACCTGTGACCCCCGAGCCACAGGGTTGACACCCTGACCCCATATCTGACCCAGACCCCTGGCTGCTGGCCCAAACTCAAGGGACCCCTCCCCCCCCCCCCCACACACACACACAGTCTCAGGAATCCCCAACCTCGGGTTTCTGGCGCGGGTGGGTTGGGTTGTTGGCGGTGGCCGTGACCGCACCATCCCCGCCCCCGCAGACTTCATCGTGTTCGTGGCCTCGGTGGCCGTCATCGCCGCGGGCACGCAGGGCAACATCTTCGCCACGTCCGCGCTGCGCAGCATGCGCTTCCTGCAGATCCTGCGCATGGTGCGCATGGACCGCCGCGGCGGCACCTGGAAGCTGCTGGGCTCCGTGGTCATGGCGCACAGCAAGGTGCGGCGGGGGCGGGGCCATGGCAGGAGGGCGGGGCCATGGCAGGGGGCGGGTCCGGAGCGGAGCCAGGAGGGAGGCGTGGCGGGTGGGACCTGGAAGTCCTGACCCACCGCCAATGGGCGGGACAAGCGGGGCCTGGCCGGACCAGGGATGGTCCAGGAGGCTTGGCCAGGCTAGGAGGCAGGGCCTGAGGGGAAGGGCTTGAGGGTCTCATTTAGAAACTTCTGGTTGCAGGGTCTACGTGCACAGCGAAGTGGGGAGCTGGGGCAAGTTCGAGGGTGGGATGGGGCGAGGCTAGATGTGGGGCCAGATCGAAGCCTGACAGTGGAGTTTGAGGGCGGGGCAAGGTGGGTCTGGGGCGGAGGTCTGAGCGTGGAACCTGAGGGTCAAGGGCGGGGGGCGGCCCGGCTTGAAGGGCCTGGCCGTGGGAGGGAGGGGCAGAACCTCCCCATGGGAGGGGCAGAGAAAGCCGCCTGGGAACGGCAGAGAATGGGGTGCTTTTATCCCCTTCCCAACACCTTTCAGGGACCATTCTGGGGCCTCCCACCCCAGCCTTTCCGCCTCGGCCCCACCTGTGGTCTCACCTGTTGCTGCTCCCGCAGGAGCTGATCACCGCCTGGTACATCGGGTTCCTGGTGCTCATCTTCGCCTCCTTCCTGGTCTATCTGGCCGAGAAGGACGCCAACTCAGACTTCTCCTCCTACGCCGACTCGCTTTGGTGGGGCACGGTACGTGAGGGTCTGCGTGAGGCCGCCTTCCCCTCTGACTTTGGTGGCCTCCGATTCCGGGTTGGGCGGACCTGTCCCTGTTCTCTCTGCTGCAGCTGGAACCCCTGTGATCAGTCTGTATGCTAGCTCCCCAATTTGCCCCAATGGACCTGTGGTGCCCCGGATCTAATCCCAGATGCCAAGCCCTGTGGCCCGTATCCCTGCATGGGGCTGGGGGGAGGGGGTGGGGCCGGACTTGTCTGTGCCCCTAGCCAATCCCCATGACAAGTCCTTCTAACTAGCCCCTGGTGGGCAACCATGGGGGGGGGCCCTTCCCTCACGATCAGGCCTTCATCTCTGTGTGCCCCCAACAACTTCTTGTGGGTGGCCACGGTGACCAGCCCTGTGGGTGACCTATTTGTTTCCCCAGATCACCCTGACAACCATCGGCTATGGTGACAAGACGCCTCACACGTGGCTGGGCAGGGTCCTGGCTGCCGGCTTCGCCTTACTGGGCATCTCCTTCTTTGCCTTGCCTGCCGTGAGTCCCTCTCTGCAGAGGATCACCCAGCCTGGGGAAGGGGTCCTGGGGGCAAAGCCTGCGTCTCTGATGGGCAGAGGCTGCCTTTTGTTGCCCCCACTCCCACGTTCCCCCAACCACGCCTTTCCCCTAGGGCATCCTGGGCTCTGGCTTTGCCCTGAAGGTGCAGGAGCAGCATCGGCAGAAGCACTTTGAGAAGCGGAGGATGCCAGCAGCCAACCTCATTCAGGTACCGGGTGCCTAGGAAGCCCCTGAGCTGAATTGGCGTGTCAACACGGTGTGCTGACTCCTGTGTCCCGGCTGCACAACTGTGACTCCGCTTTGAAGCTCAGGGAGGAAATGTGACTTTTCTGGGTCACATGCCAAGGCAGGAACAGAGCCGGGATGCTGACTCAGATTGTCGAAAATGTCCCTCTGTACCAAGTGCCCAGTTTAGGATTAGCCAGAGCTGCCCCACTGGCCGACTCCGGTCCCAAGGCTGCGTGGCCCGAAGTGGAAGACAGCCTGGCTGAGAGGCCCTCGGTGCTTGGTAGAGACACCCATCAGCAGTGCTGCTTGTTCCACTCCGAACACCTTCATTCATTAATTCATTTTACAAGCACTCACACGAATGAATATTGTAACTACAGACTGAGATCGATGTCTTGAAAGAAAGAAATGGGTCTCTGACGAGCTTTTAACAGGGGACCTTGGAGGGGGAACCAGGCAAGACTACCCTAGGAAAATGATACTTGAGCTGAGAGCTGGATGATGGGGAGGTGTTAACTGGTGAAGAGGTGAAGGGGGTAGACTCAGGGTAAGGAGACAGCATGTGCAAAGGTCCGGGTGTGTGTGACAAACTTGAAGAAAGCTAGCAGGGCCGAAACAGAAAGCTGACGGAGGAGTGAGTAGTGGATAGGTGGGCGAGGCCCAGACACGGGGCCGTGGGGAGGAGTGTAGCTTTTTCCTAAGAGCCTGTGGGCAGGTCTGCAGGAGGGGAGCAGGTGACATGATCAGATTTGTGTTTTGAAAAGTGGTGAGTGGATTGGCCGGCGACTCGGGGTAGGTGTGGGAGACCAGAAAAGAGATTCTGGCAGCAGTCTGGGTGAGGCGGGTTGCTGGGTGACGGGAAATGGGTGAAATGGAAAGAAATGGGCAGATTCTTCAGATTTAGGAGGTGAAAACAGTGCCATCAGGAGTGAGGGCGAAGGAGGTGGCAGGATGACTTCCAGGTGGGGTGACACCTCCAGGCTTGCTCAGCTGGGTGGTTGGTGGCCCTGCTCTCTGGAGTGGGAGCAGATGTGGAGCCTGAGGAATGTGAGTTGGCCTGGAGTCGCGGTTGGCAAACTCATTAGTCCACAGAGCCAAATATCAACAGTACAAGGATAGAAATTGCTTTGGAGAGCCAATTTTTTTAAACTTAAACTTCTCCTAATGCCACTTCTTCAAAATAGACTTGCCCAGGCCGTGGCATTTTGTGGAAGAGCCACACTCAAGGAGCCAAAGAGCCGCATGTGGCTTGCGAGCCTCAGTTTGCCGACCACGGGCCTGGAGCCCGTGGAGTCTGAGGGTCTTCTGAGCCCCTGGAAGGCGATGTTGAGCAGGCAGGCAGCGGGAAGGTGCCTCTGAGAGGAGAGAAGTGGGCGGGGCAGCAGTGGACAGCTGTTGCATGTAGACATAACGAAGCTCTGGGCCTGGATGAGCTCACCTCGTGGATAAAGGGGGAGCAGAGAAGATGGCCCAGAACTGGGCTTTTTGGAGCCTCAGCATTTCGTGGCTGGGCAGGCAAACCTGAGCCAGCCAAGGAGACAGAGCAGCAGCCAGAAGAATGGGGTAAACCTAGCGGCGTGTGGCCTCAGTGTTCGCCCTGAGCTGAGGCATTCTGATGGGGCTGAGACAAGGGCTCTGATTCGGGTGACTCGGTGACTCAGCCTTGGCTTCTCCCTGGTCAAGTGTGTGAGTAAGAGACACCCTGTGGGGAATGTAGGCACGGCCCACATCGGCGTCCTCTCCAGCATGCCACTCTCTGACCTCCTCCCCGCCCCAACACACACCCCTAAGTTGACTCCCCCGCCTTATCTCTCCTCCCCAGGGTGGAATTCCGCTCCCCATCTCGCTATCTCCCAGCCACCAGCCTAGGCTTTCCTTTTCTGTGTCCCCTGGGGCACAATGGACATTGTCCCCTGGGAGCTGGCCTTTGGAGGGGCATTGGAGGGGCAGGCAGCTGGCACTTCCAGGCCAAGAGACAGCTGGCATTGTGGTGCCCATAATTAATGAGACTGTCTGGCAGCTGCTCCCCACCCTACGCCAGGGGCCTAGGCAAGCAGGAAGTAAAAATATTCCTGTCCTGGGAGGGTGCCCGGCTGGTGAGTTCATCGTGGGCAGTCCCTTAAGGACAACAGGCACCCAGAAAGGGGGAGGGGGGCCTCTAGGGCCGGTTCTTCTTTGTCCTGTGTCACAGCTCCCACGCCTCCCTGCCCTCACTGATCGCCCTGCTCAGGCCCTCTCGGCTCTTCTCCTTCCTCTTGTCTGACCCTCATTCCTCCTGCTGCAAGGAAACCCTGCGAGTCCGTGAATGCTGAGGGCGGTGATGCTCTGTCTTCCCCTCTTCAACCCTTGGGCAGTGACAGGCAGCCGGAGAGAGGAGGTGGGGCTGTTGTTAGTAATAATGATTCACTCAGTCAGCATTCATTCCTTGAACATTTGCGGAATACTCACCATGTGCCAGAGGATGCAGTGGTGATCCAAACACAGCTTACACTCCAGGAGGAGAGAAAGACACTAGTCAAACACACAACGAATAGATAGCTATCCGTGGTAGTAAGGGAGATAACAGGAGGGTTTAACAGGGGAACTTGGCATTGACTGCCAACTATATGCCAGGTACTACCCTTACATATCACATACACTCACCTATTGGATCCTCACAACACCCAGTTAGGTAAGTAGTGTTACGCCCATTTTACAGATGGGGTAACTGAGGCTCGGCAGCTTTACTTAACTTGCCTATAAGAGGCATAGCTAGGATCGGAGACCCGTCTACCTGATGACAGAACCCCAGCTCTTAGCTGCTGTACTCCAAGGTCCCTGGCCTTGAGGCTGATCGGCTCATCACCTTGGGAAAGTTGATGAGCCGATCAGCCTCTAGGCCACCATTCCAGGCCCTGCTGGTGGCTATGGAATTGAAACTGGGTTATGGTTCTGCGTGCCCTTCTGCTGGCCCAGGCCTGGGTTGTCTCAGGGGCAGGGGGCTGGCGGGGGGTGGAGAGGCCGCACTGATGCCTTGTCTCCTGTTTCCCTGCCCTCATACCACCAGGCTGCATGGCGCCTGTACTCCACTGACAGGAACCGGGCTTACCTGACGGCCACCTGGTACTACTATGACAGTATTCTCCCGTCCTTCAGGTAGGCCCCGGGGCAGGGGGAAGGCAGGGCAGGGGGCTGCCAGCGATGGCCCAGGAGGACAAACGGCTGGGATTCAGCCCCGGAGGGGGGGAAAGGGATGATGGCTCTCAAGGGAGCCTCTGGGCTGGCTCTGCACATCCTGAGAGAGTATGGGATGGGCCTGAAAGGGCATGCTGGAGTTGGGTACCAGGGCCCACATAGTACTTCCTTGGAGCCTAGAGTGTCTTCTCTCCCACTCTCTGTGTCCTGGGAAGACTGTGGGCCCTGAGCACAGGGTGTGGAGTGGCCCTGCCTGCCCCTCTGGATGAACCCTGAGCCCCGGAGTGCTGGCAGTCTGCATACTTTCCCAGAGTCGATGCCACCCAGGGTAGTGGCACAGCCAGCTCATCACCCCTTGGTCTGAGTTGGGGGCAGTGTTTGCCCTTGCCAACTTGATGTATTGCAATGGATTGAGAGAGTATGGGATGGGCCTGAAAGGGCACGCTGGAGTTGGGTACCAGGGCCCACATAGTACCTCTGTGTGCGAATAGGTACCTACTTTCACGGTAGAGGCAGCAGCTTTAGGGCCCAGAAGTGAGTTCACCCGCTGACCCAGGTTGGGGGAAGATTCCAAAGGGTGGCTCCAGGCAGGTTGGCATCAACAAGGTTTGTGTGGCCAAGTGCCCGGCCCATCCCTTAGGTGGGCATGAAGACCATGGAGCACAGCTTGGTCCCGCGGGCAGGCGGGCGTCAAGGCAGGCCAGGCTGCTGTGCTCAGCGCTTCTGCTGGCGCCTTTTTTTTTTTTTTTTTTTTTGCCTCATTAGTTCTCCAAGAGCAGCTGTTGCATGATCCCACTCATCCCTACACCTGGCTGCCTCCCTCCCTACTTCCTCCCGCTCCAGGGGGTTCCCAGGGGAGGAGCAGGAGAAGAGGGGCTGGGAAGGGGAGCTCCCAAAATCACACTGGTTTCCCCATCTCTCCACCTGGCAGGGCCAAGCTCCGCCTCAGAGACCCGGAGGGTCGTTAGTTTAGGAGGAGCCATGAGGATCCAAGGCCAGCCCCCGGGGAATGGCGCAGGGGCTGGTTGTTCGAAATATGATGTGTGTGGAGGAGGGGGCGGGCGGAGGAAGATTTGGGGTTGGGGTGGTCTTGGGTCCTCTGGTGAGAGGAACAGAGCTCGGCTTGGAGATTCTGAGTCAACTAGGTCTTCTCCTCCTGGGACCACAGTTTCTTCATCTAAACAACGGGAAGGCAGAAAGGGGGAGATGTCTTCCTTGGGTTATGGAAACAGGCAATGCCCGGAGACTTATGAAGAAGCTGAGCCTGAATCTGGTCTCCAATAACCCAGAGCTTCAGGGGAAGGAGCTGGCTAGCCACCCTGTCACGTCTCCCTCTTCAGCCTTAGTTTCCCCCTCAAATTCGGAGTCAGCTCTGGAGGCTGAGGATTTCAGGGCTGCCGCTGGCCTCCGGGTAGGCACAGCTCCAGATCCCTGGGCACAGCTTGACGAGCAGAGTAAGCTGCACTTGAGCTCCCACTTGCCCCCTCGTGAGGGTGCTCTGGAGTGTGCCCAGCCTGTACAACCATACTTGGCATCCCTGAGGACTTCCCAGGAACGGAACGTAGAAAGAGAGGGAGGGAGGGAGGCAGGCTACTCTCGCCCACACCGTACCCTGCCTGCTCTGGCCTGGAATGTTTGCTGAGCCCTGGAGAGAGGCAGGGCCTGGCTGGCTGTGAGCTCAGGAGCTCAGTGCCCACCGGGTGAGGGGGTGGTGCCAGGGCTCTGCCTGCCGCTGATGGCACCCTCTCCTGCAGAGAGCTGGCCCTCTTGTTTGAGCACGTGCAACGGGCCCGCAATGGGGGCCTACGGCCCCTGGAGGTGCGGCGGGCGCCAGTACCCGACGGAGCGCCCTCCCGTTACCCGCCCGTTGCCACCTGCCACCGGCCGGGCAGCGCCTCCTTCTGCCCTGGGGAAAGGTAGGGGCCCTCTGGGGCCACCGCCTCCTCTTGCTTCTCCTCCTCTTCCATTCTCTGTCTCATCCTCTCTCAGACTTGTGTCCAGCCGCTACATGGTTCTCTGGGCCTGTTCTGGGGACTCCGGGGCCTTGTCACGAGGCCCGGGCAGTTGTCGGACAGCCTGACAGATACAGACCGAGAGCCTCTCCGGAGGGGTCAGGCTGGACTCGCCTTTTTTTGTCACGTGGGAGAGTGGGGGATCTGTCCCCACCATCCTTTCCTGTCACCTCCTCCATTCATTCCGTTGTCCTCTTTCTTTCTCTGTTTCCACGCTCCCCTCCTCACTCTTCCATCCCTGCACCCCCATCCCTCCCGGGAAGCTGGAGAGAGGAGGAGGCCGCTGGCCACAGGTGCTTACGGCTCAGGTAATCGTGGGCACCGTCCTGGGGTGTGGGGGCAGGGGCCCCTCCCCCAGCATGTTCCTCTAGAAAGGGCTTGACACTGAACTCGCCTCTCGGGAACAGGGCGCCAGCTGGGGAGAGAGCTCTGTGACTAAGAACCGCTGTAGGACCTACGTAAACTCAACCAGTGACTAATGCTCTTGTCTTGTGTAACCCTTGTCCACAGCTTTGCTAATCCCAGAGGATCCTCCTGGGATTCTCCCACAATGCCTTTCTTCTTTTCTGAGGGACAGATTGCTGCTCCCAGCAGTCTTCTACCCCTTGACCTGACTTGCCTGGAGCTTTTGCATCTTGAAAGGACAAAGAAATAATGTTTGTGGCCCACCAGCCCCATACACGCACATAAATGTTCATAATAGTGGATTTTCAAGTCTATTTGGATAAATAAAGGAAGTCCCCTAACTCACAGTATGGGAAAGTGGCTGCTCCCGTGGAAATATAGCTATGAAGTCATGGATTCAATCCCCCCTCATTTCTCACCTGTCCTCTCCCCATCTCTTTGTTTTGTCTCATCTTCACACGTCATCCCTGCGTCAGCCAGCGGGCATCTGGGCCTTGAGCCTCAGGTGTGGTGCTGAGCCTGTGGCCCAGAACAAGGGAGGGGAGAGAGGTGAACACTCTGTGGTCAGGAGGAGGAAGTGCGGTGCAAGCTCACCTACGCCACCTGATGCTGTGTGTCCTTGAGAAAGCCATCAAGTCTCTCTGAGCCTCTCGGTCCTGGGCAGAAAGTCAGTGATGTTTTAGCTGATAAGGAGCTCTTGGTTCTCTTGGTTTCTGGGCAGAAAAGCTTGGGAAACCGGGAGGAAGTGGTTTTAGTAAAGAGGACGTTAGGGGCAGCATTTCTTCCCTGTAGTGAGTAAGGACACTTTGGGGGAGGTGCTTAACAGAGAGTGACAGAGAGGCAGAGCCAGCCCTCCAAGACTGGGGCTGGAGGTTGGGGCCAGGCCAGGCTGGTGCATCGTTCACATCCTCTGTCAAGGCCTAACGACTGTCATTATTTCCCTGGCCTCCAGGCAGAAACTCACAAGATTTTGGCATTGATGCAACCCTGCCCTGCTAAGCCAGGGTTAGCTTTCAGTGCACTCTGGCCTCACCTTGTCGAAATAGGAAGGCTCTGGGGACGGAGATTATGAGCAGCACCTGTGCTCCCCTCACAGCCGCTCTGGGTCTCTAAGGCCCCCCAAGGCCTAGGAACAGATTTTTAGTGAGTGCTTGGCTGTCACTAACTCCAAGCCTTAGGTCTGTCTGCCCTGGAGTATCTGCAAGGCTGGGACTGGTGGTGGAGTGTTCCTTCACCCAAGGGACCCCCCCCCCTGGAGCTGAGCTGTGACTTCTTAGCACTTAGGCACCAGCCTCAGACTAAATGGCCACATGTATCCTTAATCTTGGCTGTCTGGGACCCATGGGGGGCGGTGCCCCAGGTGGGAGCACGCACATACACAGACACACACCTGAATGCTCTCCGTGTTGCTTGTGGGTGGACCAGGCCACGCCGATGGCCAGGACTACAGGAGCGGGACTTCCTGGGGCACCTATTGTTAGGGCCAGAGCCTCCTCTCTTTGGGACCACGTGATAAGGTGCAAAAGCAGTGTTTCTCAAAGCCTGGTCCACTGACCTCTTGCATCAGCATCCGGTGGGGTATTTGTTGAAAATGCAGACAGCTGGATCTCTGCCCGGGTCCCCAGGAGGAGATCCTCTGGAGAACAGACACAGATTCTGCATATTTAACCTGCTCCCAGGAGATCCTCATGCAAAGCTCGAGAACATCTGGGAATGTGGGCCAGAGGATGTCTGGGTCCGGGGGCCTTCTCTCACCGGCAGCAGGAGGCTGGCCCCATCCTGGCAGTGCCCGTGCTCCGCCCACCTGTCTCCGTCCCACTAACCTCTGTTTGTGTCTTGTTCTCAACTTTCCAGCCAGATGTTTAGTAATAAACGGAGTTTCTTTCGGATCCACGCCAGCTGGAGACCGAGGTACCCCTTACCTGCTCCTCCTGTCCCTGCTCCTCCTTGCCCCACCCCGTTTGGGGGCTGAAGAGGGGAACAGGATGGGCCAAGGACAAGGTGCATGTGCCTGCCGCCTGCCATCTGTCTTGGGGCCCCGATGAGCCCCTCGCCTTCCTGGGGATGCCTCTGCCAAGTCTTGGGGCATGGGCCTGGTGCCCAGTCCGCCAGGAGGGACACTTACAGGAGGCTTGGGATGAGTGCTGGCTCTGCTGCTGACCCCTTGTGTGATCTTGGCCAAATTGCTTTTCTTCTCTGGACCTCGGTTTCCCCTCTGTGGAACGGGTACATTGAACTAGAGGCTCTCTGAGGGTCCCTCCCACTCTGACGGGGGTTTAGCTTCCCCGCTGCCCGCGAAGGGGCCTAGCAGATGCCTGAGGGGGGATTGGCACCTCCCTTTCTAACTCCAGAGCCCAGCTCTTTTAGCTGCATCACCGCCACATTCCATGGTAGCTGCCCCATGCCAGGCCCGCCCTAGGGACACTGTGATAAATAAAACACGGTGCCTGGAAAGTTCCAGAGTAATTGCTAATATTAATTGCTAATAATAATTGCTAATCGGTGTGATCCGTGTAGCACAAGAGGAAGCAGAGGGTCCTGTGGAGCCTTGGCTCAGGCACTTCACCCCCAGGAGGTCCAAAAAACAGTGGGTGCGAGGGAGGGCATCCTAGGCCAAGGAGCTGAGGAGGCGAGAGAGAGCACAGCTATGGCAAAGGACCAGGTAGCTCAGTGTGGCCAGATCTGAGAGGGGAGGTCAGGAGCTGAGGGTTGGGGGCAGAGCGGGGTGATGAAGAACCCCAAAGCCCAGTGTGGGCCTCATCCTCTTGGCACTGCCTGGCAGCTTGGACTCACGGTGTCCTGGGTTTCCCCAAAGTGCCTCTGGAGCCGTGTGGACTGAGGGCCCATGAGTCGGAGGTGAGTGCCAGAGCTAGAGGTCGTGTTTCTTAGAAACATGGATTCTAGGTCTGAGCCTGGCTGCCACTCACTCGCTCAGGGACCTTGGACATAAGCCCTCTGTGCCTCCGTTTTCTCAGATGTAAACTGTGGATGATAATAGGATCTACTTCTGCACAAACTTCCTGGCTCACAGGAAGTGCTACATGGATATTGGCCTCATTTGATTTGGCGTGTTGACCAGTCAAGACCTTTTTTTTTTAAAAAAAAAAATTGGGAAACCATGGCTGTAGGAAGAAGGTACACACAGAAGGGTTAAGCTGAGAGTCTCCAGATCTGCCCCTTTTCAAGATGACTTTGGCCGTGTAGGCATGAGAGTCAGGAAGGGCAAGCCCAGGGCAGATGGGCCAGTGGGAAGGCTGAAAAGAGGTGCTTTTTGCAGCACCAGAAAGAGTAGGCTGCCTCTCTTTCCCCATGACCTTGGCCTTGGGCAGGCAAATGGTGAATCCTTAAAGAAATCCCTTGTGGAAATAAGTATAGGGGTTGGGACCAAGTCAGTCAGAGGGCAGCCTGTGCTCAGAGCTTGCCCACTCCCTCCCCCAACAGGACAGCCCTAGTCAAGCCCACCCCGTCCATCTCCCAGTCACCAACAGATCACGTAGATCACGTAGTTTCTTGATTTCAGCAACATTGGCATTTTGGGTCCAATCATCCTTTGTTGTCAGGAGCTACCACTTGCATCATTGGATATTTAGCAGTATCCCTGTCCTCTACTCAGTAGGTGCCAGGAGCACACCCCAGAGTGACAACCAGACATATCTCAGACATTGCCAAGTGTTCCCTAGCGAGCAAAATCCCCCCAGTGTGGGTGACTGCTTGTCCCAGAGAAAGAACACAGTGTGGATAGCCAGAGAAGACTGGGTTCCAGTGCTTGTTCCATCCAAGGAGCTCTGCCATCCTGGGCAAGTCATTTCACCTCCCTCTGCATCTGTAAAACAGGGATGGAAAATACGGAACCCACCACACGAAGTGGCTGAGAGCTGGAGGGCTGAGGCAGTGAGACAGGACCTTGCGTGTTCGAAGGAGCCTGGGAAAGGAAGGAGCTCTTTCCATGTCCACCGTGTGCCAGGTTTCTTTCCATTTTCTTTGAGCTTTTAGGCTCCAGAGAGGCTCACAGGAGCCATTTTCTGGGCCCTGTCCAAGGAGCTGGAATCCAGCCCCCCCTGGGGAAACAGCCTTCTTACATCAAAGAAGAGCCCAGGGCCTCTGGCTCGCTGGAAAGTTACAGAACCCACAACTCACCAACCATCACAGAATCAGAGCTGGAAAGGGACCTTTCAAGGCCTCTAGTACAAGCCCCCAGACCTTCCCTGGATAAGTTCTGCTGAGTGCAAGCGGTCTGGCTTGCATACTTGTCATGACAGGGAGGTCTCCCCTTCCCCCAGAATACCACTGGAGTGATGTGTTGGGTGCAGAGATCTGGAGTTCCAGGCCCTTGGCTGAGTGTCAGGGTCTTCTCCAGCTCCCTCTCTTCCTCTCCCCATTGGAGGAGTGGAGGACAGGAGGAGGGGTTGCACGGGCCGGGCGGGTGTGGGGGTGCTTGCCAGCATGAGGAGAGCTCGAAGGAATGGCTCTGTAGAGGAAAGTTTGGGAGAGCCAACCTCAAACTTTGGTTGGAATTTTGGGGATGTGTTGAGGGGATTCTGGGCCAGAAAACGGCATGCTAGATTACGGGGGCCACCCCTGTCCTTCACTTCTGATTTCAGGGCCCAAACCCTTGACCTAGAACCTCTCCCCTTTGGGCAGAGGCCCCCGACCTTGAAGGATGGCTCTGTATCCTGGCTGCCTTCCTGCAGTTGCCTCTGGTTTCAAGATCTCCCTTACTGCAGTACCTTGTCTCTGTACCTTAGACCCCATGTCCTGGGCATGGGGGACCCCGGCTTCCACCCAACCCTGAAACCAGAATCTATCCTCTGCTGTCCCCTTGATTGGAAAGTAGGTGGCACAGTCTTATCCCCCAACTCCTGCGCCACCTCAGGCTCCTCTGAGACTGGCTGATGCTCTCTGAGCCAGGGCCCTAGACATTTTGGGCAGAAGGGCCCTCAGACCTATCTGCCAGGGGCCCTCCAAGTGGCAAAGCACAGCAGGGAGGCAGCCACAGGGCATGGGATGGGGGACGTTTGCATAGGTCCTGCTCCAACAGCGATGACATGGTCCTTGAACCTCTTGGACACAGAGTTACTCTACCAGGTAATGGTTATCCATCCAGGACCTGATCTGGGGAACCTGAGCTTCCCCACCCTGCCTTCCTCCATGGCTTGGGGATGTGCTGGGGAACTGAGATGTGGAAAGGGACATTTGAGTACATGCAGACATGTGTGTATGTGCTCACATGAGCACAGATGTGTGTAGGTGCTGTTCTCTGAGGGCGTAGTGAACAGGCGATGGGTAGGGCTGTGGAGGAGGGATCCATGACCACATGTATGGGTTATCAGCCCAGGTGGGCAGAGTTCAAACAGGGGAGACCTCAGGAGAACACGTTACAAACCTTCCCCGGGAGGGCAGACACCCTGTGTGTCCTGGGCATACACATGGGCCCAGCAGCTAAGCAGGGCCAAGGCCTTCAGCAGCCATCACTGCAGGCCTCAGGCACACTGGAGTCTGTGTGGGGGAGACCTCGGAAATTTTGCAGTGTTACCTGTACAACTGGACAAGTCCTAAAGCCCTGACTTGACCAGTATGGGATTAGAGAGTCCCACGAGTGGGGAAAGGAGGAAATATAAATGGACACATGTACACACACACCAAGATATGTACACACACTGACACATGCGTACCCACTGTCACATGCATGCATGCCAACACACACATACCCCCTCGATTCCGCATAGCCTGCTCCTGGGTACAGTGAGGGGCTGGAGGCTCACCTTGGTGAGTATGGCCAGGCGAGCTTCTCCATCCTTTAACAGCCGGTCTGCCCAGGCTGGTCACCACCTCCACCCACCCACCCATCTGGGCCAGGCCAGCTCCCCTGTCCTCTTGTCCGTCTTCGACTTCCTTCTTGGGTTCTATCACTCCCTCCACTCTGACATCTGTCTCTTGTGCACCCTTTATCTGTCTGGGCACTGAGGGGTGGGAATTGGGGAGGATGGGAGGATCTGCTCAGATTGACTGGGAGTCAGGGCCCCAGTCAGGGCCCCCCTCACCACACCCTTGTCCCATCCTAGGAAGTCTCCACCCTGAGTCCTAAGTCAGCTATGTCTCTACTCATGTCCACCCTGGCTCCAACTAACTTGGCTTTCTCCCCCACCCCACTTGCCCTGCCAGCAGCCGAATGGGCATCAAAGACCGCATCCGCATAGGCAGCTCCCAGCGGCGGACGGGCCCCTCCAAGCAGCACCTGGCACCACCATCGATGGCCACGTCCCCAAGCAGCGAGCAGGTGGGTGAGGCCACCAGCCCCACCAAGGTCCAGAAGAGCTGGAGCTTCAATGACCGCACCCGCTTCCGGGCCTCTCTGAGACTCAAACCCCGCTCTTCTGCTGAGGGTGAGCCCTGGGGGCCGGGGGCCCCGGACCTGCTGAGGGAGGCAGGGTGGGGACAGAGTCCGAGCCGGGTGTGGAAAGACTTGGTTCCAGTCCTGGCTCTGCACCTGATGGACTATCTCTGAGCACCTTGTGGTCTGTCAAGTGGGCGTCGTGATACCTGCGGTGCAGGGCTCCAGATTGAGACTCAGACAAGGATCATCTGGTTGTGGTTAAAGGCACAGGCTTTGGAGCCAGGCTCCCTGAGTTTGAGTCCTGGCTTTACCATTCGACTTGAGTAAAGACCTAGAATGACTATCTAGGACTCATTCTCATCTTCTCCAAAATGGGGGTGATCATAGTATCTACTTCCTAAGATTATGGTGAGGATTAAAGGAGATTATCCACGGGAGGTGAACAGAAGGATCTTGGGAATATAGTAAGTGCTCATCAAAAGCTAGTCTAGCTTCATACAAACGTGCGTTGGAAGGAGCAGGCGTCCATACTTCCTAAGCCGGGACTGTGTCCAGTCCCACAGTGGATTCTCTGCTTTACTTCTCCCAACTGCTCTGGGAAGTAGGTTCTGTGTGTCCCCATTTCACAGACCTGGAGGCTGAGCTCTCTCAGCTAGTCAGTGGCAGAGCTGTCATCCCCAACCAGGTCTGCCCCACTCCATAGCCCAGGCTCCACATCCTGCCCCTCTTCACCCAGCCTAGCCAGAGACACCAGGCGGTGAACCTGGGGGGGGGGGGGGGGTGTCACGTTTGAACCAGAAAGGTCCCTGTTTTGAGTCCTAGCTCTGCTCCTGACTTGCACTGTGACTTAGGCAACATACTGCCCCTTTCTGTGACCCAATGTCCTCTTCTGGACAGCGAGAGGGCTGGACCGAGTTCCCCGGAAGAGTTTTCCCAGCTCTGACATGCTTCATACCCCTGGGTGCGAAAAGGAGGGGGTGGGTGAACCAGAACGGAGGATGGGGACAGGAAGCCCCTTTGACCTTGGAGGGAGGGAATGCTGCCTCTGTCTGTGCTGGGTCAGCCCCTAATGCGCTGCTGGCAGACAGCTCGGAGAGGTCTTTGCTGGATCCACACAAGCCAGTCTTTGGGAGGTGCTGGCCCAATAGAGTCTGGGCAAGGCTGGTGCCGGGGGCCTCCTTTCCATGCCCAAGAACATACCTGGCCTTCTACCACCCTGTGCCCTGAGGGCCCAGGACAGCATCCTGGCTCTGTGCAGTGCAGGGCAGCAGCTTTGGAAAAGCCATTTCTCTCATCCGGAAGGAAATGCCTTGCTTTAGGGGCCTTTCCCAGGGGCAGAGCCGGACAGGGGAGTCAGCCCCCTTGACTTCCTTCCCTCTTGGCTGAAGGATAAGACTGTGTGCATGACTGTGTGCAGAGGCCACAAGCCCCTTTGCTTTGGGACTCCCATCCTGGGTGATGGAACTAGTGGGGCTTCCTCTAGGGCTCTGTGCTTTGCCCCAGGCCAGACCGGATGCTTCCACCTGGCCACCAGCTAAGTAAGTGTTCACCCTGTCCGGCCACAGGAAGACGCCGTGCAAAGAACTGGGGGTTTCCACCCTGGCCGGGCATTGAGGGAAGCTGGAATCTGGTCTGCCTTGTGCCCTCAGGAAGGTTCTGGGCCCTTTCTGGGCCTTGGTCTTCCTGCCAATACTTCTTAGTATAATTTGGCATGTGGTGGGAGTGGCCCCTTCTGCTGCCACCACGTGGGTCCCCTTCCTTCCAGAGGGCCCCTCCGAGGAAGTGGCAGAGGAGAAGAGCTACCAGTGTGAGCTCACGGTGGATGACGTCATGCCTGCGGTGAAGACCGTCATCCGCTCTGTCAGGTGAGACTTAGGCTCAAGGTGGGTCCTCCCCCCATTCATCTGCTACCCATGGCTGCTCCCCATCTGGGGCCTGCCCTCATGGCCAGGCCTGGCCTAGATCCCGGGCACACCAGCTGCTGCCCGCCTGGCACCCTTGTGTGGGTGGGTGCGGAGGTGGCATATGGCTCCCAGCAGGGTTTCCGCATTCTCTTGTGATGGGAAGGCTGGCTGGGTGGGGCGGCTGGCTGGGTGGGGCGGCTGGCTCGGCTGCCCATCATGGTCTTTCTCCTCACGCCCACAGCATCCTCTTTGCTCCTCTCCCCAGCCTCTTGCTCGTTTTACGTCAGGCTCTTTTCTCTTTACTTCTCTCTTCCCAGCATGCATCAGCATCTGTGTCTGTCGTATATGCTCTTTCCCTCCACCTGTGTCTCAGACCGTCTCTCTCTCCTTGTGTCTTGACTTCATCCTGTCTGTTCCCCCAGGGCTGAGCAATGGTTTTCAAACCACAGGTCACAGCAATTTGAAGTCAACTTAGTGAAATCAACTTAGTGGGCCATGGGCAGCTTAAAAAAAAAAAAAGAAAGAAAGAAAGAAAAAAGAATAGAAAGTATCAGTGTGCGTCCTAGTAGTGAGGGTAAAACTTAACTATGAAACATGTGTTTTTATTTTATTTATTTTTTTAAATATATTTTATTGATTTTATATAGAGAGGAAGGGAGAGAGATAGAGAGTTAGAAACATCCATGAGAGTCATCGATCAGCTGCCTCTTGCACACCCCCCACTGAGGACATGCCCACAACCAAGGTACATGCCCTTGACCGGAATCGAACCCGGGACCCCTCAGTCTTCAAGCCGACACTCTATCCATTGAGCCAAACTGGTCCCGGCTGAAACGTGTGTTTTTAGTTATGTGCCTATGTGCATGTGTGAACTGGTTTCTGGAGTAAAATATATTTCTTATGGTAGGTCTAGGACAGAAAGTTTGAAAACCCCTGCCCTGCTGACTCTACTGGCTGTCTCCTTGCCTCCACACTTAAGGGGTGACCAGAGTCTCCTGAGCCCTTCAGTCCCGACCCCGCATGGATCTGGCCCCCCAGCTCCTTGGCGTGGTCTCTGTCTCCAGCCCGAGCCCCAGAGATGCCTTCACCCCCAGGCCTTCCAGACGCACTCCTCTTCCCTGGCTGATGCACCTGCCCACATGCCTCTTCCCTTTGGGTTCCTTTGAAAACCAGAGTCAGCTGGATCCTCCCCAACCCCCGAGAACCTACGTTCTCTTCTCACCCTCTTTTCCACATCCCATGTCTCCCCTCCAAGTGACCAGCTTCCAGAAAACAGCGCCTGAGCCGCCACCTAGCCCAGGCCAACTCTCCTTGGCCACCCCACAGGCTCCTTCCCCGCAGCATGCCCCAAACCCGATCTTCTTCCTGGTCTCCATTTCAGCCACGGGAGTCAACTTGGTGAAATCAACTCAGACTTAGGAGTCTTTCAGTCCTGAATTGCTTACAGCTGTCCCATATCTCACCCCACTGTCCCCTTCTGGCTCAGGCCTGTCCCTTGGAGCTGGCGTTCCTGCCTAAATTTCTTTTGGGGGAATAAGCCCCAGGTTCCCAGGTTCCCTCCAAGGCTGGCAGAATAGACCCTTCCCCACCACCCAACTTCCCATTGCCCAATCTCTGCCAGGGATCCGGGGCTCTACGGAGTACCCTCCTCAGCCTCTGTCTCAAGGACAATCCCTTTCCGTCTTCGCCTACTCCCCACCCCACCTCCCTTTCCTTCCCAACTTGTTTCAGCTGCTTTGACCTGACTCACTTACACAGGGTCCTGCCTGCCTATGTCCACAAAGCCTCCCTCCGCCCCCCTCCCAAGACTTGTCCCCTGACGCACCAGCCAATGCCTCCCTTGTCATGGCCCCCAGCCTCTTTCTCTGTTCCTGACGGCCCCTGTCAGCCCATAATTGTTTATGTCCTCTGGTGCCCCCCTCAGACCAGGGCTCCTGAAGCCAGCAATTGGGTCTGACACCCTTTTGGGTGCCCAGGGTCCAGCACAGCTGTGCTAACAAGCATTTGCTAAGGGGTGCCAAAAATGTCTTTGTCCAGCCCTAGCTGGTTTGGCTCAGTAGATAGAGCGTCAGCCTGTGGACTAAAGGGTCCCGGGTTTGATTCCAGGCAGGGGCACATGTAAGGTTGTGGGCTCCATCCTCAGTAGGGGGCATGCAGGAGGCAGCTGATCAATGATTCTCGTCATTGATGTTTCGATCTCTCTCTTTGTCTCCCTTCCTCTTTGAAATCAATTATATTTATATATGTCTTTGTCCAAGCTGTCATCAGCAAAAGTGGTGTCACACCTAGCAAGGAGCAAATATGACTGCACATATAGGCACATTCAAGAATACCAAACTATGGGTCCCAGGGCATGGTGGGTAGGGAAGGAGGCTGAGAGACTCAGCAGAGGCTATTTGCCGGGGTCCAAGCAGAAGGAGCTTTGGTACTGGACAAGGAGGCAGCAAAGAGGCAGCAAAGGGATGGTGACCCGGCTGGGAAAGAATTCCCTATGAGACACTCTTCCCCTTTCCCCTCTCCTCCCTCCCACAGGATCCTGAAGTTCCTGGTGGCCAAAAGGAAATTCAAGGAGACGCTGCGACCGTATGACGTGAAGGACGTCATAGAGCAGTACTCAGCAGGGCACCTGGACATGCTGGGTCGGATCAAGAGCCTGCAGACCCGGTGGGTGTGCCTGCTCCCAACCCTGGAGCGGGGCAGGGAGGCCTTGGCCCCAGATTCCGTGCTAGGTCCCAAGTCCTAAGCCAGAATGGAGACCGAGTGCCCCCTAGGGGCCGCTACAGAGGCTGGAGTTTCTCGCTGCTGAGGCCAGACTCCTGGCCTGTCTTGAACCTGAAGAATGAGCCAGGGGCAGGTCCTCTGTGAGAACGCTGTTGGCCTGCACAATTCAGGAGACATCTTTAGATGGTTGTTTCCTGGTCATAAAATAATGCGCTTAAAGGAATAACCTCCCACCTCCCAAGGGGACTGTGCTCCATACCTTTGAAATTCCCTGGCACTTCTCTCCACCCAGCATATAGGAAGAACTCTCATACCAAGATCCCAAATCACCTACCTTTTGCCCTTCGGTGGCCGGAATTGTCACCACCTGTTCATTCATTTGTTCTCCCAAGAAATAGTCATTGGTATCTGTTACTTGCCAGGCAGTGGGAATATGGCAGAAAGCAAAGCAGAGTCCCTGTCCTCCTGGCGCCTTCATTCTAATGGAAGGAGAACAGATGGAATATGTCAGACAATAAAAAATGCTAAGGAAAAAAAAAGGGGGGGAGCTAGAGTATTGGGGTTTGCTATTTTAAATAGGAGAGAAGGTGATGTTTGAGAAAAAAATTGAAGGCGAGGCAAGCAGCCCTGTGGCTGTTTAAATGTTTCCTGAGGGGAAAGGTTTTGAGGTGGGCATGTGGCTGGAGTGTTGTTCTAGGGACAGCAAGGAGCCTTACCGTACCTGAGGAAAGAGAAGTGGCAGATGAGGTTAGAAGGCTAATGGCACGTAGACTGTACAAAGCCCGGTAGGCCACAGTGAAGATGTCGGTGTTCATCCAAAGTGAGATGCAACATTGGAGGGCTTTGAGCAAGGACTGATGAGATCTGAGTCATCATTTAAAAGGATCATCCTAGGTGTGGTGAATGGCTTATAAGGGAACTTGGATGGAAGCAGATAGACTGTTGAGGATGCTACTTCAGACATCCAGGCAAGTGATGAAGGGTAGACATGGTTAGATTTAAATATATTTTGACAGGGTCTTCTGATGGTGTGCAAGAAGGGGAGAAACGGTGGCCAAGATGAAGCCAGGGTTTTTGGCTGAAGCAAGAGGGAAAAGTAGCTGTCTGCTGACACGGGGAAAGCATTGAGTGGAGCCAAGTTTTGATCAGAAAAATTGGGGCATGTTGGGTTTGTGATGCCTGTCAGACATCAGATGGAGTGATGATCTGGCAGTTAGAAGGGTGTGAGGTTCAGAGGAGAGGTATGGTGCTGGAGATATAGATTTGGTGTCAACAGTGCGTAGTGGAACGAACATCTGGAACGGAAGACGTCACAGAGAATGAGAGTAAATGCACAGAAGAGGTTCCAGGAGTGAACCTGGGGCCCTGCAGTATTTAGAGGCTGTAGGGATAATGGAGCCAGCAAAGGAGACTCAGTGAGGTGGGAGAACCAGGAGAGGGAGGTGTTTGGGAACCCAAATGAAGAAAGTACTGGAAGAAGGGGTGCTCAGATGTGCTCCCAGCGCTGCCAATAGGGCGAGTGTAATGAGGACTGGGAGGTGATCATTGAATCTAGCAACATGGAGGTCATTTGGGATTTTGACAGCTGTAGATTTGATGAAGTAGTGGAAATGAAAGCCTGCTGGAGTAGCCTTTAGGACGGAAGGAGCGAAATTGGAGATAGCGGGTAGAGATAGCACTTTCGGGAATTTCGCTGTAAAGGAGAGCAGAAAAATAAGCTGAGGCCATTGTCCACCTTATAACGCACATCCCTGCTGTGTCTCTTCCTCTTTTCCCAGTCATGTCCCACTTGTCCTCCCACTAGGTAGCTGGGTTACTTGTCATGCTGCCTTTGTTCAGCTCAGTGGAACACCCTCAGCAGTGGCCAGCTCCTGTGGCAAGGCCCCCTCCCTCTGGACCCCATGCAGGCAATGTCTCCCCTTTCAGCAGGCAACCTCCAGCTCTTGTGGGAAGGAGGGGTGGCGTGTGTCAGCCCTTGGACGGCTCCCTTTCCCCCACAGGGTGGACCAGATTGTGGGCAGGTGCCCCGGGGACCGAAAGGCCCGGGAGAAGGGTGACAAGGGGCCCTCAGACACGGAGGCGGCAGATGAGATTAGCATGATGGGCCGCGTGGTCAAGGTGGAGAAGCAGGTGAGTGTGCAGAGGGCGTTTCACTGGTGGGGCAGGGCTAGTCCTCCACCCTGACGCTCTGGAACGCTGCGGGGACAAGCGCAAGCGGAGGGTGCGCTTCTCAAGAGCCGCAACCTTGACCTCTCAGCAGCCGGGGAGGCGCAAGCAGGACCCTCGCCCCCCACAGATAAGCCCTGCCTCCCAGTAAGCCCGCCCACGAGACCCTCCCCCTCCTGCCAAGCCCCGCCCCAGGTTGCCATAGTCTCAGATAAACCCAACTAAGTCCCACCTACTTAATTTTAAAAAAATATATATTTTTATTGATTTCAGAGAGGAAGAGGGAGAGATAGATAAAACATCAATGATGAGAGAGAATCATTGATTGGCTGCTGCTTGCATGCCTCCCACTGAGGATCAAGACCATAACCCAGGCATGTGCCCTGACTAGGAATCGAACTGGGGACCTCCTGGTTCATAGGTGGATGCTCAACCACTGAGCCATGATGAGCTTTTTAGTTTATTAATTTATTATTATTATTATTATTATTATTATTATTATTATTATTATTTTAAATTTAACCCCGCCTGGGTGCCAGACCCAATTTAATTTTGTTCAGAGGGATAAGCCCCAGGTTCCCAGCTCCGAGCTCTGGGTTCCGAGCTCCGCCTTTCCAGACGCCCCCTCCCGGGCCAAGCCCCTCCTCCAAGCCGGGTCCAGCTTCCGGTCCGCCGGCCCTCCGCGTGGTCAGCTCCTCCCCAGCCCCACCTGTAGCGTCGCCGGCCCGGCCCAGACCCGCCTCCCCGCGCCCGCCCGCCCCCAGGTGCAGTCCATCGAGCACAAGCTGGACCTGCTTCTGGGCTTCTACTCGAGGTGCCTGCGCTCCGGCACCTCGGCCAGCCTGGGCACCGTGCAAGTGCCGCTGCTGGACCCCGACATCACCTCGGACTACCACAGCCCCGTGGACCACGAGGACATCTCCGTCTCCGCGCAGACGCTCAGCATCTCCCGCTCGGTCAGCACCAACATGGACTGAGGGGCTTCTCGGCGTCGGGACGCACCGGGCCGGCCCCGCGGCCTGGCGCTCGGACCCGCCCCCGCAGGCCTGGGGGCTCCGCTCTTACTTGAACTCGCCCCTCCGCGGGGGGAGAGGCCACGCGCAGTGCTGAGCAGCCCCGGTGGGCGGGCTGCGGGCTGCGGGCCCCGCCTCAGGAGCGTGAGATGCCAGGCCGCACAGAGGGCAGCAGCGGCGCTGCCCCGCGACCTCCGCCCCCGTGCCCTGCCCGTTCCATCAAGGCCCAACCCGCCCGCGGCAGGGGCGCTGCTCGGAGCGTGGGAGCGGGTCGCTGGGGCTCTGGGTCTTGAACCAGCTTCCAGCTATGCAAGGTGAGGTGTCTCGGCCCCGCCCTTCGGACAGAGCAGGGAAGCCCTCCCGCCAAGTCTCCGCCCCCTTAGGGGCGGGCCCAAGGTGCCCTCACAGGTACCCACAAGCACAGGACCCTGCCCTAAGGCAGGTGGGCACCATATATGCAAACTATGTTAAATATGCAACTCTGGGGACCCCCATGGGGTCCCTCTGCCCATCCCTCATTGGGAGATGGGCACCCAGCACTAGCTGGTCTCAGGCTGCTTGGCCATGGTCCCCATTTCCACTCTTTGGCTTATCACTCCCTCCCCACCCAGCATGGGGCCTGTTTCTCCCTCACCCCTTCTCCAAGAGCAACATCTGGGCCTCTCTTCCCCTTGCAGTGTCCCCTCCCTGGAGCACCCTCTTCCTGCCAAGTGTCCACTCCTCTCTCTGGCCCTCCACTCCCATTCGACAGCACACGTTTCTGTGTCCTCCCCCAAACCTCCCACAGACAATGCTCCCACGTCACACGAACATGTCTCTTTCGTTTCCCCAGATGCGCAGAAAGTCTCTTATACTCACACGGACACACAATGACACACATGGAGACATTAGCACAAGAGCCACTTAGCCTTCCCAGGGCCTCTGCAGCTGATGCCAGTGGACTGTCCTTGCAGGATGATGTCCACTAAGAGGTGCCCCCCACTCCATCCAGGTAGGAAGGGAGCATTGAAGTGACCCCAGGTGTCTCTAGGCCCCATCCCAGAGCTTTACCAGAAAGCTCTCCTTTCTCAAGAAGATCTACTCCTCACTGGTCCAGGAGCCCTAACTGCTGCCTCTGCCTCGACGTCCCTATAGCACAACTCAGGCCTAGGCCTCTGGGGCCTGGATAGCACTGGGAAGACCCCAGGCTTCTCCCCAGATGGTAATCAGGCCCGCTTCTATCTAGGCTTGCTGCCTTCTTAGTCACTGTAACTCCCAGAGAGAAAAATAATGTACCTAACAACCACCATTGCTCAGGCACCAACTGTGCATCCAGCACTAACATGCGCTGTTTCCCCTCCTTCCACACCCCACTGTTCACTTTAATTGGCAGCCCCTATACTGGCATCCACCCCCATCCACTCCAGGCCCCCAGCATCTCTTTGGTATCCCTACTCTTTGTCCCTCTTCTGCAAAGCTATTGCAGGTGGCGAGAGAGTGGTGTGTAGGGGGACCCTCTACAGGGTACCAGTGAACAAGGGGCTCAGGCCCAGCCACCTGCACCTCATGACTGGGGACCTGCATGCACCAGCGCCAGGGCTGGGGTTGGATCTTGCTCAGCCCCATGGTGCCCAGCCTCTGCCCAACATGCCCTCTGCATGTCACCATCATGCCCTGGATGGAGCCTGTCCTGGCTAACCTCACCTGCACTGCACTGTCCCCAGAGAGCCACCCCTTGGCCCCTCAGAGACAGAGCTGTGGAGAGGGGCAAGAGAATGGGATTACCCTCTGACTAAGGAGACTGGGGAAGAAGCCCTCGCTCCTTCCGCAATCAAGGTTCTCCACCAAACCGGTTCTCAGATATGCAAGTACCTCACTTTGTTAACTTATTAACTTATTGGTTTCATTAAAGTTTTCTGTAGGATGTGGTTGGCCTTGGCTGTTTGGTGGGCTGGGGTGTGGGGCACCTGGCATGGGAGTGGGACGAGGTGATTTGGATTAGTCAGGACTCTCGATTGTAACAACAACAAAAAACTCAATCCATGATAGCTTATGCAAAAATGAAACTTATTGGCCCAGATAATGCAAAGTCCAAGGGCTGGATTTGGCTCCGTGCATAGTTAGATCCAGGTAATAAAACAAGTCAGCATTCTGTCTTCTGTCTCAGCCTTCCTCTCAGGCAAGCTGACCGCACCTCCAAATTAACTTTCTTTTGGCTCAGTACCTCAGTGAAGAGTGGGGCCACTATCCTAATGTTAAACATGCAGAAAAATCACTGCAGGAAGCAGCTTCCACTCCGAGAGCAGCTACACGGGGAAGAGGTGGGGGTTAGCAGAACCCACAAGCTTGATTGGGGATGTGTCCTAAAGAGTTGGGCTCAGAGGTCTGAAAAGGGGTTGCTATCTGGTGGTTGATAGTCCCTCTTAGGGGATGCAGTGAAGGTCGGGAGTGCAGAAAAATGCCGGAGGCTGCAATCAACTGTTGCTACCAGGTTGTGGCTGGTAAGGTTGGTAAGCAAAGGAAGAAGGTCTCCACTTCTCCTGCCTTCCAGGTTTCCGTAGTGTCCCTTATTGTCAAAGGCAGCTAACAAAGGAGTAATGTGGTTTGAAGAGTCCCAGTCCTCGTATGACAGACTACATAGCCTGCATTTGGCACTAAAAGACAATCCTAACACGTAAAAAGCCAGGGTCCGTCATGACCTAAATGACTGGGCAGATGACCAAACACCAGGCTACGGTCCTGGCCAGCGTGGTGGGAGTGAGTCTGGGTCCCAGCCATCCATGGCACGGTGGAGGGAGTTGTGGGAATGGAGCCATGCTGCCATCATGCTGGTTTCTGGGTCTCCCCCGGCCCACAGGCTCTGGGGAACCAGAGCCATACTGCGATGGGACTGGGCCCTTTCCGAGAGACCCTGGATTGTGAGAGCATGCAGGCTGGGCTGAGAGACACCGTCCCCCCTCCCCACCCCAAGTGCAAGAATTTTTGTGCACCGTGCCTCTAGTAGCTTAATAACTGCTACAGTCCACCCCTTTGGACATCCAGCATCCAAACACATCAATCCACACATATTTGAATCTGCATATAGCAACAGTAGCTTCCACCTAATAAGATGAAACTATCTTGCATACAAATGAAGACACTCTAACTCTCTCCCCACAAATTGGGAAAAACACAAAGTCCAACCATCCAATAGATGTATTCATCTCTAGGAGTTAGTTGTTGAATCCACATTTGGGTAATGTTAATTTCTCCCCTCCTGCAATTGAACAATAAGCTGTTGAGGGAGCCATCACGATCTATATAAAACAGTAGAGGAAAAGAAGAAGGGAGGAAAAATAAATTAATATATAATGCACACACACACACACACACACACACCAAGCAAGGAAAAAAAATATGCATGCAGGCCTTCTGGTAACTCATCACAACGCCATGATTGATCTATACTGTATATCTGTTGATCATGTATACCTTTTTTTTTTTTTTCCTACTGCCCTTCTGTGTTTCCTTTGCCCTCAGCCAGGACCTCAGCTGCTTAGGGTTCTTTACATGGTAGAGTGACCCAAATAGTCATTCTTGAAAGTTCTGAATCCTCAATGGCATAATTTGGGTTGCCATAGCTTTCATTAACTTCTATTACTGTACATGGAAGCACTAAGAGGGACTGTAGAGATTCCCCTCCTCCTCACCCTTAGCCTCCTGCAGCAAGTCTCCCCTTGGTAATGAAGATCAGTTAATTCGTTCTTTACCTGCTGGTTTAGTAGCATGAGGAGCCCAAAATGGCCAGTTAGAAGTTTCAACTTCCCATTCAATGAAAACTGTGTTGCTTCCCTTCCCTTGAGAACTAAGCCTCCAGACTAGCAGAGCCCAACATTGTGGGCACAAGAAGCAAACGTTCTGTGAGTGGGTGCAGTAACCTGAATAATAGCCACCCAAGGTATCAGGTCCTAATCTCTGGAATTTATAAAATGTTACCTTATAAGGAGAAAAAAAATCTTTGCAAATGTAATTAAGTTAATGATCCTGACATAAGGAGATTATCCTGGATTAACTAGTAAATCCAAAATCCAATTGCAAGTGTCTTCTTAAGAGAGAGACTGAGGGAGATTTCATACACAGAACAGGAGGAGGCAATCTGAAGACAGAAACAGAGACAGGAGTCATGTGCCCACAGCAAGGGGATGCCAGCAGCCGCCAGAAGCTGGGAAAGTCAAGGTACAGAGATTCTCCCCCAGAATCTAGGGAGGGCAGCCCTGCTGACACCTTGATTTAGGCCCAGAGAAACAGATGCAGTTTTGGCCTCCAGAACTGTGAGAAAATATATTCTGTTGTGTTAAGTCACCAAGTAATTTGTCCCAGTACCCATAGGAAACTAATACTGTGGGGGCTTTGTGTGTGAGAAATAATAGTGAGAAAACCACTCTCACTACCTCCCATTGATTCCTGCAAACTTATATTCTGGCTGTGCTAATAAAGATAAATCACTGCTCTCCCCATGTTGGAAAGAATCCAGGGGAGTCAACCTAGCACCAGCTAGCGAGAGGAACCCTTCTGAATGGTGATATATTGGATATTCAACATTGTCTCTGTGGATGGTAAGTTGGACATACAGTAGTGGCATTAGCCAGATAGCCCTTGGTGAGGCAAGTCTATATTGTTGAACCCATAAATAGTGTCCATTCTTCCCACCATCACCCCGTTGCTTAAGAATATGTTGAGCAAGCCCTAGAGCAGTGGTCCGAAAACTGGCTCAAGAGCTACATGCAACTCTTTGGCCCCTTGAGTTTTTAGCAAAGGCCAGCTTAGGAGTACCCTAATTAAGTTAATAACAACGTACCTTATATAGTTTAAGTTTAAAAAAATCGGCTCTCAAAAGAAATTTCAATTGTTGTACTGTGGGTATTTGGCTCTGTTAACTGATGAGTTTGCCAATCACTGCCCTGGAGGGACTGCAGAATGAGGCTGACTGATGACCCCTGGATATG